ATCCATCCAAAGACTGCAGTAGTAAAGTGTTAAAAACAACCACTGCTGGGGGTGGTGGGAGACACATTCAATCCCAGTACTTGTAAGGCAAAAGCCAGGCAGATCTCTATGGATTCTAGGTCAGCGAGGAATACATGGGAAGACCTTTTGTGGCAAAACAAAACGCCAACCCCCTCCCACCTCAACAACAACAAAACAAACCCAAAATAACAACAAAAAGCCCAAACCAACCAACCAACAACCAAAAAACACCCCCACCACAACTGTTAGTATTGTACTGGCTTGTCCTTGAGGCTCTGACAGGACACGCCCTCAGCTGCAGCCACTAAGAGCAGCACCTGCGCACATTCACTAGGTTCCCTGTTAAAAGGGCCCTGCCCTTCCCCCCCCTTCCCTCAGCCCCTCTTTCCTCTCCTGCTGCTCACGTCCCTGGAGGCCGGTCTCCCTCCTCCCCTTTCCTTTTTGTGATCCTTTTCCCTTAATAAAAAAAATGCCTCTGCTTGAACTCTGTCAAATGGCAACTTTCTTTCATGCACTGCTTTTCTTAAATTACAACCAAACAAAAAACCGACAAAAAATACAAATTGTGGGCAGTCATCCTACTGTAGGGTCAGAATCAAATACCGTACTATGCTTGGTAAAAACAAAAGAAAAGAAAAAGTCATTTTCCATTAGTGTAAAATTGGTAATGAGAGGTACCTAAAACTGTTTGGGATACTATTAAAGAAAATCAGTTAATAAATGAATTCAATTTGTCACAACTGTCACAAGAGGTGTTACCTGTTCCCCACAGTAGCCACAACCCCAGCCTCTCAGGTCCCTGTACACACCACACCGATACACCAGGAAACTAAGGCAGAAAGGAAAACGTAAAGAGGAACTGGGTGGTGCAGGGGTAGGAGGAGGTGACAGACACTTGGCCAGCAAGAACACAAACGGAGCTCAAGCCACACTCCTGAGTCAACCGCTGGTTTGGGTCCCAGGAAAAGAACACAGGAGCAAACTTCCTTTCAAAGAATCATTAAATACCTCTCATGTGTTTGAAAAACTTATGAAAATCAGATTTCGAACTTTTCACTTTTCAGTGAGGAAACTGATACTACAGAGAGCAAAGTCATTTGCCTCAAACTACCCAGCATGGCCTGGGGGTACTCCACATCCATCCAGTGTCCGTCAGTGAGAGCACAATCTATTCGGCACAAAATTCCTAATTTTAGTAGCAAAATGAACCTCTAAAAGCCAACAACCTCAGCACTCAAAACACTGTCTACCCTCCACCCCCAAAATGAAAGGCAAAACATCAGAACAAAAGATGAGTGTGCCCTGCAAACCCAAAGACAGCTTGGACACAGCCACGCCCACAGCACCAGAATGGCAGACACTTACACAAGCCGGCTCGGGCAGGCTTGGGTCATTTTTAATGACAATTTTCTTTGCTTCCTCCAGGTTCTTTTCTCTTCGTAAGTTATCTTCTGCCTGATTTTAAAAACAATGCAATTGGTAAATGTAGTTTTGGGTGTTGTACTATAAAAATGTACACAAGGGCAAATTCTTAGTCACCTCTTTCTTCTCCCGAGAATCATTCTTCATCTGTTCTCTGTGCCACATCTTTTTAATGTTCTTCATCTGGGACTTAGAAATGACATCCCACCTCTAGAGAAAGAGAGAGAGAGAGAGAGAGAGAGAGAGAGAGAGAGAGAGAGAGAGAGAGAGAGAGAGAGAGAGAGAGAACACAAAGATACCCATTATCTTCAACACCTCTATATGCTCAGAAAACTTTATCACTCACAAAACATGATCCTGAAATGGAGCTGGCACACCCTACCTCATTTTCCTTTTGTGAATCCACATAAATGGTGGGAAATGGCTCTTTTCCAACTGTCATCAAAGCCTTGGGGGAGTGGGGAGGGGGGAGAGGAGAGGGAGAGAAAAGAGAAAATTTCTTTAATATTATACAATGCTTAGTACCCAAAACCACACCTGGAACATTACCAAGAGCCCAAGGTAGGACCCAAGAGGCAAAACTCAGTGCCAACAGGATGACTGGCTGAGCCTCCTTCGGAGGGAGCTAGCTGGCTCTAGGAACACCCAGGTCATGCTACAGAAAACCCCAACCAGTTCACTCACACAGTAAGCAGCCTCCTATCAGAATAGAGTCAAATGGACACAGGGACAAACACAACTATGACAACAACAAAAGAGGTAGCAGAGAGCAAAAACCCTTTTGCAAATCATTTCTGTGACTCGTAAAGTATCAAAGGTGGGACTTAAGACAGGCAGGTCTGAAACTCAACAAAATAACAGCCAGTTACAAAGAAGGCTCCATTTAATTTGAAAAATTCTCGTGAGACTATTCTTTTTCACCAATATTGGCATCAGACATCACTGTAATGCATATATACATACACACATATATATTGTATTAAGTTTACATTTGTGTGTTTTAAGTCAGTTAACATAAAATGAATTTAAAATGCTTGTTACACTGTTATTTAATGAGTATGTTTGTGTGGGCATGCACACGCATGAGGGAGGCAGCCAGAGGAGAATCAGCTTTCTCTTTCCCCCATGAAGGTCCCTCGGAATGAACTCAGGTTGTCAAGTTTGGCAGAATCACCTTTACCCACGGAGCCACCTCACTGATCCCCCCAAAACCAATTTTTTAACAGGGTCAGCCTTGCTGTGTAGCTGAGGATGACCCTGAACTCCTGATCCTCCTGTCTTTACTTTCCAAGTGCTGGAATTATAGGCTCAAAGCAAAGATGAGTATCTTAATAATGTCAAGCACTATCTGAAAATTTCCCCAGTTACTGCATCACACAGGAAAAGAAATGTCTTATCCTCTCTGGAGATAAGGTGTGAAGTTTATAAAACCTGACCTCTGAGATCCTACCAAGCATCTAGTCTTTGCCTGTGTGTGGGAGCCCCCACTAGGTCTGCTGAGCTGTCCTGCTTCAGCTGCTCTTTGAGTCATGCGCCCTGAGCTGTCTGCTTTCATTCTCCAGCTAAAGGCTAGAGGCCAAAAACTTACAAAGGACAGTCACTAGCGGGTATAAACATCTAGGCCTATGAGGAAACATTAGCAACACTGACTTAAGACACCCCCCTGCATACTAAATGACAACTCCCACACACATATGACTCCCCACAAACATAAAGGAACAAAGGGAGGAATGCCCAAATTCCTGGAAAATCTCCACCCATTCCCACAAAAGACACGCAGAGCACCCAATGACTATCTCATTCTCCTCCCTCATATTCTAAACCCTCCAAGCCCCCAAACCCCGAGAAGCTAGCTTGCAAGTTTATCTCCCTCTTCTACTATTCTTGACCATGTTTTCCTTCCTTGCTCCAAAACCAAAGGCAAGAGAAACCCTAGCCTTGTAGTGTAACTTAGTCCACTGTTGCCTGCTGTAGAGCAGGAGGAGGAATCTTCTGAAAAGACCAAGAGACTTAGCACAGGGTTAGTCTTGTACATCAATAATGGCCCCCCTTTGGGAGATCTTTTGAAATAAAACTACTGGGTTGGGGAAATGGCTTGGTGGATAAAGGGACTACCACTAGGCATGATGAACCGAGTTTGAGTTTGGTACCCAACATTCATTCACACGGAGGAAGGACAGAACAAATGGAGCAAGATATCTTCTGATTCACATCTGTGCCGAGGCACACAAATACTGCCCCCCTCCCACAAAGGTAGCATTCTCTTTCTAAAGAAAGAATGAAATAAAATTCTTGACAAGTCATTCACCACCAACAGTCATTCCTAAATGCGGAGCAGCCACCCTAACGAGGTTACCTTCAGGCCTGTTTTAAATGGTTTCTCCTTAGTGCCATCTCCCGTTGCATCGCTCCCTTCTCGATCAGAGACATACAACTCTGCTGTTTTGTAAAAGAAAAGTCACTCGTCATTCATCAGTAACCCTCAGACACTTTACAATGCTGCTGTTTTATCCATTTTCTATCTTTGGAAACAGAAAAAAAAATCATCTAGTTTGTAACTCCCACAGCCCAAAAGAAATCAACATATTATTTTTCATATCTCCCTTTTATAAGACTATCCAACCTAACACAACGAATTACAAATCGGACTTTTGTAAATGAACTTTTTTGTTATTTTAACTGTTAGCACTTCTCTTTACTTGACTCAGTAAGTCCAGAGTTTTGAAATTCATCCTACCTTGATGAAATGCTGTACCTTAAAAGCCAGGGTGACCTGGGGAGAATTTATTTAACCTTTCTGTGCTTATTTCCCTGTCTATCAAATCAGGAAAACAATATATATCTTACAGGGCTGTATGGACTGAGGATGAACTAGAACAAGATGTCAACCAGGAAACAGCATAACAGATAGCAAATGAAAACCTCAATTCCCTCTGCTTTCCAAAACAAACCCCAACTCTGGGGTTACGCCGCAGATGGCCTCACGCCTGCTGGTGACAGTGCCTCGGTCTCTTAAATCTTTTATTTTTTACCGCTGCAAATCTCAGCAGAAAAATGAGGCTGTGCGAGAAATGATGAAAAGCCTTGAATCCATCCCAGAAGATCAACTGAGGAAAACTGCTTATTTGGGGGTTTTACTAGGTCGGGGCTCCTTGCAGCGCCCCAGTCTAGGCGGAATCACGAGACTTTCGCAGCAGGGCTGGGCCAGGAAGGCAGTGGCCGAGGGACCCACAGGGCTGAAGCCGAACCGGCCTTGAGCCACCGAGACTGTGTCCAGGTGGCCCAGGTCTTAGGGTCTGGTGAGAAGGACCAGAACCCCACAAATATTCGGGAGTGCGCCAAGCCTAAAGGAAGTTCTGGAACTCGGCGGGAACATTCCTGTACCGGACCACAAGCCGAACCTCACTCACCTAGTACCATCCCTGCAGTCGCCCTTATCACCTCCGAGGACATCTACCCCGCACCACCGCCACCTGGTCACCTCAACGTGCACAGAAGGCTTCCTTAACTGAGCGGTTGCATCATACCGTGCAGAACCGTCGCGGATATGAGTCAGCGGAACGTCGGGCATCCATTGGCTACACGAGGAGGGCAAGTGACTCAGAGGCCGCCATCTTTGGTCAGGGAAGAGAACATTTCCGGTTCGCAGACACTGGGTGGGGTACCTTCTCTGGACTGCCCAGGCGGAGCCGGGTCTCAATCTCCCTGCGTTCCCAGCTCTGTGCCCAGCTGAACGCATTGCTGGCTCTGTTCCAGCAATATAGGGGAAAACGTTTTGGTTTTTTATTTTATGTGTATGAGTTTTTGTCAGCATGTGTGTACGTGCGCCAGGTGCATGCCTTGGTTAAAAAAAAAAAAAAAAGTCATCGCATCCCTTGGAATCGGAGTTACATATGGTTGAAAGCCCAGGTCCTTCATAAGAGCAACAAGTGCTCTTAACCGCCGAGCCCCATGAAATATTCTTGAAAAAAAAAAACGAAGAATATTGTGATGAGTTGATCAACTACCTGCTTCCCCAGTAGAACAACAGTTTATATAGCATTTAATTGCATTAGTTTATGTACTAATCCACAGCTGATTTAAAATATGCAAAAGGATTTATGTAATCTCACCGCAGACACTATGCTATTTGATATAAAGCGTTCGTTATTTCCTTATTTGCATGGGTAGCGTTAACAATCTCCCTGGGATACCTACAGACGACCTGTATCTGGCTGTGGATCTTCTGCCTCACCAGTCAGATTATGGGTAACGAGTCTGGCCAGGGCCGGTTTAGCACTTCCTCCCAGCACAGCCTGGAGTTAAGGAAACGCTTGGTTAACTCTCCTAGACAGCCTCATTTAATCAGATCTTCCAGAAGCTGGCGTTTCCTAGATGCATAGCTGAGAGTCGCTTTCAGAAACAGACTGAAATTTGCCAGTACCCTTTATTGATTGACGGAATTGTGTTTAATTAGTGTTCAGACTGTGGCTAGTTTAGGGGCGCTCTGCTCTAGAGGTCACTGTGTTCCCGCTCTGTCCTCAGGATTGTTCTAGTCTCTCTACCGTGTCTATTTGGTTTGCGGTGCGCCGTAACAGGTTATGTGTATATTTAACTTTCCCGATAGCCTCCTGCTTATTATGTTCAGTGCATACGAATCCGACGTCGCCATGTTGACTCCGGGCAGCTTCGGGGTTCCTTTCCTGGGTCCTGTCAAACCGGCCTTCCAAGAGTGTTCAGGGCCATTCGGTATTTTGCTCCACAAAACAAGTTTTGAAGAGAGTAGAGGGGGAAATCACTGTGATGTCTTCTTACCTCGTCCCAGCCTGAGAAGGGGTGTAGTGCATGTACTATATAAATAATGTGTAAGATCTGTAACTGCAGACGACAGTGGAGATCTCACTAGGAGACTATTATTTTAAGGAACTGAACTTCCCTCTCGATTGGAGAGTTAAGTGTGAGCAAAAGTTAGTTCGTTAATTCCTGGAGAAGTTTTTCTTCTGTGATCCCTAAGCCACTTCGAGTTTGTGAACTATTTGTGAGCCGCCAGGAGCAATAAGAAATAAAATCATTTAAAAATTAATATCTTATTAAGGAGGACAAATTTGAGCAGTTAGGACTCTGAAGTCACATACACTTGAAAATAACACAACTCTTACTATTTTCTGGCTCCATGACCTTGATCCTGACCCTAACCTCTTGAGTCTTGAATATTTCCTTTGTAACATGATAAGAACATATCTTTCAAAAACAAAAGATTAAAAATGACCTACTATACAAAAATGCCTACTATGTGTTTGACATACACACAAATCTGAATTAGGAAATGACATGTGGTACTCTTTTGTTCCCTGACCATGTGTGTGAATTAAACCCTCAACCTAATGTCTGAGAGTTCTGGTGGACTCCTCACTCTCCCCATCCCTCCCTCCCCCTCCCATCTGCATGAATGGTCTCCCTAAGAGTGTCCCACAATGTCTCTGACTATCTTGTCCCCGCTGGTAGGTCATTATATGGGAGCACTGATAGCATTCCCTTGAAACCTAAGGACTTCCTGTTTCAACATCTACCTTTTCCATCTTGTTCAGGGAAAGTAGCTGCCTGACTAAGGCAGCCAGCTGGAGTCCTCACTGGGATTCTTGGGCACCTCAGAATGTCCCCTGGGGTGAGGCTTCTAAGTAAGGGAACAAACAGCAGCAGACAGAAACAATAACTTCAAGCCAGGCCCTCAAGATGTTCAGCAGAAACTAACTTTGGCAGTTGAGGCAGCAGGCTGAGTTTCACACAGCTGAGCTTCAAACTTCTTCTCTCTGTTACTGTTTATTTATTATTATGTATTCCACTTCTACAATGTGGCATAAAGAATAGTAACTCTTGGGCTGTTCTGCTGCTGTCTTTCCTTACTGTCACTCAGTTAGCAGGACCAACCTACCCTCCAAACATGGGGCCTTGAAAGATACTATGATACTATAAAACAAACATGTTTCAGTCTGAAATAAGAGGTGGGGGGGCAACCCCACATTCAGATCCAGCTGCTTGGTGATTTCAAACAGTACATGACAATTATCAACGCACTGCAGATTCTATGCTAGTTTTAGCTTACTAACAGTATTCTCTTCTATCCTGGAGCCAATGACCTCCCTTACTAGGGGCTTTTGGCCATATTAGGGTTACGTGCATGCACGCACTCCTCCTTCCTGAAGTCCAATCATAGACAGTTGGTTGTCCCCATGACACTGTGCATAAGTAGACACATCTTGTTTGGCAGCTTGGTCTTAGAGGTTTATGGTCACAGTTGGGTAAGGCTGTTGATACCTTTTCTCCCCAGAAGCCTTCGTATCACCTTGTGGAACTATGAAAGCTAGCCGGCAGAGAGAACGCTCCCAGCTCATTCTCAACTGGTTTCTCTACATCATGTAAGCAAGCTGTGTAGTCTTCAGAAGTAGGGTCTTATCATATAATTCTTTCTGTTGGGTTCATAAAAAGAATGTCAAGAGAATGTATTGTTTGTCGCTTGGGGGGGCCACTAAGGTCTCTTTAACTAACAAGTCATGACAACGTATCTCACCCCAATGCATATCCAATTTTGCCAGAACCATCTATGGAAAATATTATCTTTTGTTCTTTTGCATCTTTTGTTTTTGTCAATATCTCTTGGCTGTATGAATGTGGGTCAATTTCCAGGCTCTCTTTTTTATTCCATTAGTTATGTATATGTCTTTACATTAATTACATGTATTTGTATGTGTATGTGTATACATACATGCATGTGGCTGCATAGGCCATAGTACACTTGTTAGGGTCAGAGGACAACTTGCAGCAATCAATTGTTTTCTCCCACTGTGGATTCCAGGGTCAAACTCAGGTCATCATTCATGGTGGTAGATGACTTTTATGTGCTGAGCCATCTTGCTGGCCCATACATCTGTTTTGCTTGTTTGTTTGCCTTGCAGAGAAAATGTTCTCATGGAACCAAGGTGTCCGGATCAAGATACCCTGTGCTTAGCTGACACAGAAAACAGTAGAGGTACCAAAGAAGAAATTGTATTTTGGTGTTGGTGGCCAAGAAAAAGATAGTCTTTGCCATCTTCCAACCCTAATAGCTTAAACTACCAGACCAGTCACTTCAGGGTGCATTCTTGGCTAGTGGACCAGGAGATGAATACTTGAGTTGAAAAGACACTTTGGTCCAGTGTGCTTCTCACTGGGATAAACATAGGGCCCCCAACATCTTGAAGCTTCCCAATCAACCATTTATGTAGTTATAAGCCCAGGCCCAAGTCTGAGTATCCCCTGCAACTGTCTATTAAGTTTAAACTCATGATCTTCCTGCCTTAGCATCCTGACTGCCTCTTAGAACTATAGGCTTATACTGCCAGGCCCCGTTTACCCCAGAGAGCTGATCTATAAGGAGGAAGGATTTACTTAGCTTGTAATTTCAGAACACAGTCACTTAGCCTTGTTTCTTTGGGCTTATGGTGGCACAATAGTAATGGGAATATGTGATGGAACAGAGCCTGCTTATAGTGACTGGAAAGAAAAAGGAGAGGGATAGGGGGTCTCCACATCCCCTTCAAGGCCATTTCCTTCATGACCTAACTTTCTCCCACTGGTTTCCACCTCCTAAAGATTGTACCATCTCACAAGAATGGCACAGGCTGGGGACTAAGTCTCTAATGCAGGGCTTAGAAACCTTTCAGATCCCACCAGTAACACCTTCCAACTTTATTTTTGTTTCTTTTTTTATTTATTTAAGTTAGACACAAACTTGCTTCACATGTCAATCCCAGCTCCCTCTCCCTCCCCTCCTCTCCATCCTTCCCCACCAGGCTCCACCAGTTCCCCATCCAGTCTCTACTCCGACCCCAAGGGAGGGTGAGGCCCTCCATGGTGGATCTCCAGAGTCTGTCATATCATCCAGGGCAGGACCTAGGCCCTCCCCCAAGAGTCCCAGCTGACAGAGCATCCCATATTGTGGCATGGGCACTCAACTTCTATTTGTACACCAGGGAGAAATACTTCCCAAGGCCCCATAGATTTTCCTAGGCCCCCTCACTGACACCCACATTCAGGGGTCTGGGTCAGGCTCATGCTTTCCACATAGCCATCAATCTGGAGTCCAAGAGCTCCCCCTTGTTCAGGTCAGCTGTTTCTGTTGGTTTCACCAGCCCAGTCTTTTTTTTTTTTTTTTTTGAGGCAGGGTTTCTCTGAGGCTTTTGGAGGCTGTCCTGGAACTAGCTCTTCTAGACCAGGCTGGCCTCGAACTCACAGAGATCTGCCTGCCTCTGCCTCCCGAGTGCTGGGATTAAAGGCGTGCACCACCAACGCCTGGCTAGCCAGCTTTTCTTAAATCATCCTTTTGCCTCTGGGCTTTTTCCTTTTCTTACCTCTCTATATCTTACTTTCAGTCTTACTCAGTAGCTGGCTACATGACTGACCCTTTCTTTTCTTTCTCCTTGATGGCTTTTGTTTCTTCTTTTTATACTCTAACTGCTAGCCCCTCCTCTCCCTCTCATTCCTTGCTATTGGCCATTGAGTGCTTTATTAGACCATCAGGTGTTTTAGACAAGCAAAATAA